GAGAGAGAGAGAGAGAGAGAGAGAGAGAGAGAGAGAGAGAGAGAAAGAAGAAAACAAACGCTTGGCGAGAAAATATCGTTTCTAATGTAACGGATCGTAAAATTCTAGAAAGCGGCGATTCATTTGCATGCGTAACAACGGTTTGCTTCGTTTTGAAATGTTTCGCGTAATGACAGACCGCGAGAATTCATTTGCCGTGATCTTTCTCCTTTCTATCGTTTCACAAGCGTTTCGGACCAATTGAAAGCTTCTGTATCCCATAGCCGGTATATACCGATGCTTTCCGCCGTTCATCATTTCTCATTTTTTTTTTTTTTTTCTTTTCCCTCACTTTCATCGCGGCCTCGTCGCATGCGATGACCTCAGCACAGGTGGAAGATTCGACGCAACACTCGACTTGAGAGATTTCGCTCAATTTAGGAGGCAGGCCTCTTCTCACCGAGCAAAAATCCCTCGATCCGTCCGCGCGTCTGTTGCATTAGCATTCCAATGATAGGCACACGAAATCCGCCACTAACGAAAGATCGTAGAAATCACCAAGTCTCGTTCGAGTGTTGGCATTTCCCCTTGTGCAAGCGAATGAATGGAACGCACTTTACAACTTGGAAATATGTAAAACCAGCTTTACGATTAAATGCATGATCACGAAGGTATTATTCAGGTTAGGTCTTAATGAATTTTCCCGAGTTTTTCCGTGCAATAATGCATCAATCGATAAATAACAAATGGAAAGAGATACGAAGAATGTGGGAGGAAAAAAAAAAGAAAAAAGAAAAAAGAAACGATAATCAGCGACTTTATAAATGCAACAACGTCATTAGAAAGTCAATCGTTTGTCCAATTAGATCTCTTTTAAGAGTGTTACCTCTTAATCGCAGTCTATCGATTCTATCGCGTGTTTTAATTCCTAAATTACTGATATGCTCCTCGTTTCAGCATCCCGTGAATTTCAAGCGTAACTTATTACTTAATTCATTAGAACTATTTTTATCGTAGATCTTCTTACAATTCGATGGTAGTTAAACGTGATTATATGCGCGGCAATTAAGTCAATTTACAGTCAAATTAATGTGTTTATGCGTATTCAAATGTGTGTCGGAGGAGAGGGTTGCACGAGATCGTTAGTCTGGTTACGTCGATCAGCAAAGAGATAATAAGAAAATAAGTATTCGCGATGCCTCGATTGAAAAACCTTGTTGCAAGAGAGGGAAATACACTGCCTAACGCGTTAATGGTTTTTCGTTTTCTTCCGCAATTTCTTACGCGCGTCGATTCAAATTGATTCTTTTGCTATCTGCGTTGGCTGAACTAAGCGACAGGAAACTGAGCAGAGGATCGTTTACGTTCACAGGAGAACGAGTTTATCGAAGCGAAGACGATACGAAAGAGTGATTCTCTGTTCGCACATGCGCACACTCGGCACATTGAAATACCAAATTAGAGGAGTAATCTCTGTAACCACCGTTATTCTTCGAAATGTGTTGGCAATCTTATTCATTCTTCGATTACCATAAAACAGTATCTCTTTCGGCTTCGATGCTTGTTTTTGATTATCTTTCCCTTTGGTTCTTTGTCATACTGTGTGTATAGATTCTAACGTGTACATATGTATGTATAAATAAACGATGAGACTGGAAGTTTCTGATCTATCGTTTCTTCTGCTCCTTTTCTTTTTTTTTTTTTTTTTTCTTCTCGATGAACCGGTTTCAGTAAAAATAACCGATATTTCTGCTTCTTTCGCCTTTTTCCTTTTGTAAACGTAACTACTGGTGACCAGCAGTGCAGCCAAACAGCTGAATTCAGTTGTGAAAGATCAAGATCGTAGCGAAGTGAAAATCCGTGTTTTCTTAAACGAGACAAATCTTTAGTCGAGCAAAACTTCAAGCAGTAGAATTTAAATGTCATTTTATGTAGTTCCTGTAGAATGCATAGCCAGTACTGGTCTTTTCGAAAAATGTCTGCTCGCTTTTAAAATTTACAAGCAGTAAATTTGGTAGAACGTTCATTCAATATAAACACAGTGTAAGATTTTTTTTTTAATCAAATAGAGACATCAGACGAAGGAACAGCTTATGATTCAAGTTGCAGTTAAAAAACTGTAACCACCAAGTTTGAAACATAAACATACGACAGATAATCTTTGTTTCGTAAGTAAGCTGCTGTTTAAGGGAGAACGTATCACTCTAAGTCACGTTGTAAATATCTCTTATCAAAAGGTCTAAGAGCGAGCTGATGAACTCATCCGTACACATATACTACACTTTCACCAAGAACACGTCCCCGTTTGAAAAACTTCTGATAACACTTATATATTACGTGTGAATGCAGTGATGAACGTTTCACTCTCTTACGCACGTGACGTGAGCGAAATGTTAATAACCTGTTGAAAAAACGATCGATCCTCTTCGTTTCTTGTACATACACGCTGGCTACTAGTTCGCTACTTGCACCGTCAGGAATTTCGAAGACGTGAGTCACGCCAAATACTGTCGCAAAAATATATGTTAATAGATTCTACGCACTCTCGAGCCGTATATCGAGGATCAAGCTATTACGAACGACAGGTGGACGTTTTGAATTCTAAATCGATGATTCGTTGGGTGTTCTTTTCTTTCATCGGATGTTTGATCATCGTTTATCGAGCACTCTGGCCACTTTCATCGAGAACAGATGATTTATTCAAATCTTATTCATCCTCGAGAATGATAAAATAAAAGGAACTCCTTTT